AGTTTATCAGTTTAGTCAGATTGCAAATTATAGTTTAGCAGTTTAGTCATTTTGAAGGGTATATAAGGAGCACATCTCCCCCCTCTTTCTTCAGCAATGTATCTTCATCTTGAAGTTGAACTTCATCTTTGAAAGTCACCTAGTTGGTTCTAACCCAACACCTCAGTACCCTCAGTACCTAAGGCAGTCATCAAGCTCTACGAGCCAGAGACTAAAACCCTTCAGTACCCAAGGCAGTACTTTGCAACCGCAGTCTACCCGCAGGCGTGACATGTACCCTTTAGAGAGCCCCAGAGGTGGGGGCACGCCTAAGCCTGGGGCTGAGAGTTTTTTGCCTTGGTGTCTACAGTGGTAGTTGCACTAACTTGAGACTTCTGCTCACGATGATGTTTAGCAGCACGACACTCAAAAGCTTTGTGTCCAGATTTTCCACAATAGTTGCAGAGGTTATTCTTCATGTGATACTCATGTTCTGCTTGAGAAATTGGACCATAGTTTTGGCGAGATTGAGTTGCATCAATTTTCCATAGGAGTAGGAGTGAAAGTTGTAGTTGAAGTAGTACGAGGAGTAAAAGTATTGTTGAACTTGGGGGTGAAGGTGGTCCGTGTGTTAGTGTTGGAACGAGGTGTAGTATTGTTATTGTTGTTGTTGAAACGTTGGTTGGTGGTTGATTGTGTATTGAGGATTGTTGTTAGAGCGTCTTCTTTGATAAAGTAGGTCATCATATTTGATAGCTGAAGAAACTAGAGTTTCCTAATCCTTGAACTTGCTTGAGGCAAGAAGTCGATCCTTTACATCATCCTTAAGTCCATCAAAGAAGTTTTGTTTCTGGGTGTTGTCATTCCAATGGACATAAGCAGCAAGACATTGGAACTCAGTGGCATAGACACTAGCTGAGCCTGTCTGACAAAAGGTTCCTGAGTTTGAACCGGGAGGTTTCTTCCAGGTTTGAGTCGCCAAAGTATTTCTTGAATTTCAATTTGAAAATCATTCCACATATGTAACCATAAAGGTTGTTCTCCTTCATTCATGCCCAAGTGAGGGAGGACCCAACGATATGCTTCATCCTTGAGAAGGTTGGTAGCAAACACAAATACGAGTGATGTCTGTAGCGTAGGTGCAAGGTTGAACAGTGAAGACCATATTGCACTTAGCCAAGAATTCCAAAGTCTGATCCTTTCGGCCAGTAAAGGCGGTGGATGAGAGATCTTTGATTCCTTGACATGCTCGGGTCGGATAGTGGATGAGACTTGAAGAGCATTGATCTGAGCCTGAAGGCTGAAGGATCATATCCTGTTGAGCTTGGAAGGCTTGCTCTGCTGTGAGATGGGTGGTGTTGTCTGTGACAGATTCAATGTGTCATGTGATGCCATATACGACTCATAAGCTTGTCAGATGGATGTCATCTGCTCGTTCTTTCATTGCTAACATGACTGCCACGTTGGTATTAGGAGGTTAAGGGTCCACGGAGTTATGGTTGAGGAGTTCCTGAGTGTAGTAAGCAGATACATTATTCAAAGCTATCAGTCATCTCTTCAAAGAATGTATCTTCCTCTGTCAGAACTACATAGATCGTCTAAGCACTAGTCAGTAGCAAGGCCTTGTCTCCCGAGAACCTAGAGCCGTCTTGACAATGGCTCAGCAGTATAGGTCTTTATTCTCATCTCCTCCTTGATAATCACCATCATTGATCACCAGTCTCTCCTTGACAGATTGCATCTCACGTTTGAGTATCTCGGCTCTGTGGACCAAAGCTGAGAGTGAAATCGCTTCATTCTCCCTCAGAATAGGTCGCGTATCAATTTCTTTCATCTTGCACATGGATCCTATCCATCGTCATTGATGTACCAGTCTGTGAGTGGATTGGATTTGAAAGGTATTGGTATGAGTATTGGTCATTCCTTCCGCCTTCGAGTCAAGAGCATTGAGAGTTTCATGTTCCGATCTCCTTCCTTGATCAACATCTTCAGCCCAGGTAGCGACAGAGTTGGGTCTTTGGTGGCAAGCTCGTGTGCAAAGAACCCTCATTTGATGGGAGGAAAGTGGTGTCCTGTGGCGGGATACTCATCACGGCCAGATCATCAAGTAACTTTGACCTTTGGTTGGAGACACGAGATTCTGACCTGGAATGGGAGCGAAAGGGACATTTCGAATCTTTCGACATGATCTCACGACCGCTTTTTCTCCTCTCAATCCTTTTACGACCCACCGCGACGCTCTTCCATTTGAGATCGACACCAGAGACATGATGCATCCATCACAACGATAACTTCACCGGTCTCACATCCCTCCGTTCATCGCCTTGGACCCCGACTCTTCCCAGAGTCCCCCTCCTCCGGTCCGCCGTGCCTACTCGCACCAGATTCCGCTTCGCGCCGTGAGGCGATCCGTCTGTACGGTTTGGCCCACCGAGTCAATCTCGGTTCGAGCGCGTCCAACGCTTCGCGATGCCCTTTCAGACGGAACAGAGAAGACGGGATGACGGTGTTCTGCGGTGTGGATGATATCGAGCGTCGGGAGATGAAAAAAAACAAAAAGAAAAAAACACGGGGGAGAGGGAACAAGGTGGTGACAAAAGCGACGATTCGGTGAGATCCATGTAGCGTCAGCGGTTCATCGCCAATATCAAAATCAAAAGGGTGAAGTCATTCCACAGAGTCACACGGTCGTGGTGGAACCGATCATGTTGTCCGAGGGGGAAAGGAACACATGGTGATCTGCTGGATTACCTCGACGCGTGATGAGAGAGAGAGAGAGAGAGAGAGCGGAAAGAAATGGTGATGAGGTGGGTCCAGTTGTCAAGTCATCCGAGTCGCCATGAACACCAAAACACCGACACTCACATCTTGTCTCGCTATCCACTCCAAACACTCGGCCTTGGTCTTGAACGTCTCCCACGGCGCGTCACGCAAGAGTCCCAAACACTTGTCGATCGCGTGGTACCATTTGGGTTGGATGCCCCAGGTCGAGTAATCAGCGGGCGGTCGATCGGTGACGGACGGAGAAGGGGGCGAAGGACATGGATCAGATGGGTGGTGAGGGTGGGGATCGTCGAGCTGAGCGGGAGATGCGAGTGGAGGTGACCGAGATGAGGGTGGTGGAAGAGGTGGCGGTGAGGATGGTAAAAGAGGTAGTGGTAATGGTGGTGGAAGAGGTGGTGGTAAGGACGGGGAAGGCGATGGGGTATGGACCGATGGGATCGGCGGCTCGATAGGACCGAGATATAGCTTTCTGGCTTGTCAGCTGAAGAAGGCGAGCAAGATCGGGGAATCGAGGAAGGAAGAGTGCAAACAGGCAGCGGGCGAGTGAGGATGAGTCTGAAGGAGTGAACAGAGTCAAAGTTGGAGAGTGGTAGCATTGAGACATGGTTGTGGGCAAGAGATAAACGACGACGTCAAACCGACTGACCTGACCTCCCATCCCTTGAAGCGATCTGAAGACCACAATAGTCTGCCCTGAGCGACACAATCGTCCATCCAAGGGATACGCAACACCACCGTCGTCGTGGCCGTCCCCCACGACGTCTGATGATCATGGCCGGCTTGGACGTCTGACATGTGGACGGGTCGGGCGAGGAGAAGGGTGGAATGCAAGAGCGTGTCGAGGTGATGGGCCACGGGTGAGGGGGGCGACAAGGGGACCTGAATGACGAGGTCGGGTGGGTATGGAGATGGTTCTGGGATGTGATTCGACTTTTCGGCTTGAAGACGTTTCCGTTTCGTCTTTGAGCGGACAGGTAGAGGTCTGGACAGAGGAGTCGGACGGTTCTTTCCGGGTTTCCAATGGTCAAACAGCTGGGTGAGGAGGACGAAACGGGTCGGGTTTACGGGGTGAGGAGTGTAACCCTGGGGAGCGTCAGCGAGGGACTCTGAAAAGAGTAAGTGGAAATCTCACTGACATGGGGACCGTAAGCGTCCATGAGGTTGGAGACGTTGATGGCTGGAGTGAAGAAGAGAACGGAGGAGAAGATGAGGGGAGGGGTGAGGGAGGGGTGGTGGGGGTGGGGTGTGAGGTGGTGGGGGTGGAGTGTGAGGAGCTGTGGGAGAAGAGTGAGGTGGTGGGGGTAGAGTGTGAGGTGATGGCGGAGTTTGAGGTGATGGCGGAGTGTGAGGTGATGGCGGAGTGTGAGGTGGTGGCGGGGAGCGAGGTGGTGGCGGGGAGCGTGACGACGATGACATTGATGGGGACAATAATAATGGGAGGACTGATTGGGACTGGTCGGGGAGATGCATGGGTTCATCGGGGTTATCAAAACGCCGGGGTGTGAATGAGAGAGTGGCATCCACGTGGCACTACGACCTCCTATCCCTCGGTCCCCAATGATTCGCCACTTTCAACCTTGCCATCTCCTTGTGTGCCTTTTCCGTGCATCTTCGCATCTCCGCCACCCTCGGGATCGTCGTGGCGCCCCCTCCTCTCGCCCATCGTTCCTCGCTGATCTCTCGGTCTTGGCATAGCTGTTTCTTGGTCAGTTTACATCCAACTCGTCGTCATCCCTCTCACCCACCTCTATGAACTCGTTCAGTGCGTCGTTCACCCTCCCAGCCCGGTGTGTCAGCCATGGTCTCCCTCCCCCTTTGCTCGAGATGGCTGACCCGTCAGCTTTCACCCGCTGCTTACTCTTGGTGGTTCACTCGCCGTCTATCGACTCTCTTGTTTCCCGGCCCAGCTTTGCGACCTCATCCCATTCCCTCTTGATCACGTTCCATCCCAACATGCCGTCTTCCGCGTCGTCTATCATCCGATACACCTTCTTCAGTTGACCGAAGAACTTGGACAGCTGGCCCGTCATCAGCTTTCACTACTTTCGTTCTATGTGATCACCGAATGACCCCGGACTCACCAGTTCCGACTGTCTCCATATCCTCTCGTTCGATCTTCTCTGAACTCGTTTTTGTCCTATCCATCCCCCCTCTTCCACCTCTCTCTTGACCGTGGTCATCTCTTGCACCCTCACATCCACTGACATGCTTTTCGACACCCTCACGTCCACCGATATCTTTCCTTTCGGGAATGCCGGTCTTGTCTCTCTCCCACTCGTCCGCTCGACACCTCCCTCTTGGTCTTCCCCCCAGTCAGATGATCCCACCACGTTGGTCGTGCCCGTCAGCGATCCGGGCATTCCTTCCGACCAGTTTAATGAAAAACTTTCTCGCGACGGATCGTTCTCACTTCTGTCCGAATCGCTCTCTCCGTCCATGTCATGCTGATACGTGGAGGCTCCACGTCCCATTCCCACGCTCTCTTCTGTGGCAGTCGGGTCGCGCGACGGTTGGAGAGGGAATATGGAAGGGGAAGCCAAGATATTTTGCCTTTCCACACGGGAGTGTGCTGCGGGAGCGAAGATGTTTTGCCTTTCCACACGGGAGTGTGCTACGGGATTCGAGTCATTTGATATCGAATAAGACGTTTCTGATCCTTTTAGCTTTGCTTGAAAATCCACCGAGGTCCGAAAAAAAAACTAAAAACTTACCTGGTTCTTCTGTCACTATGTCGAGCTCAAAGTTTCCCAAACACTCCTTTTCCGCCTCGACTCGAGTGGGTACTGGAACTTGCTCGACCTCGTCATCTACCAAACCCTCCTCCTCGTGGTGGGCCTGGCTCGAGAAGACGGGTAATGGAAACACCATTCGGGTATGTTTTCCTTCAAAATCTGTTCGTGTCGGTTCTCCCACTTTTCTCGTCTGATCGGTTGAGAAAGAACGATTGTAACTTGAACTTGTTTGAGATTGAGATTCTTTCTTGTGCTTTGATCGGCTTTCTAGAAAGTGCTGCAATGCTCGGCCAATGGATTGCATCTTGATCTGTTTTTCCTCGTCGGAGAGTTTCTCAGTGGCGTGAGTGTTATCATGGGTATATGATTCCCCGGCCGAGCTTAGCAATCTGAATTTTTCTTTTACCTTGATTTGTTCTTCCCCTTTATTTTTATGTTCGTTCTCTCCTATACTTTTATATTCGTTTCCTCCTTCTCTTTTATCTTTATTTTCACATTCGTTCCCTCCTTCTCCTTCATATCCATCCCCTCCTTCCCCTTTATCTTGATATTCGTTCCCTCCTTCTCCTTCATATCCATCCCCTACTTGGCATCGGAAACCTTCCATCTGTCCATCCTGTTGTTTCTCACTCTTGTTGTGATACGAATCATTCTTTTCGTCATCATCCCTATGACCATTTTCGCCTAGACTGATATCCAGACTCGCTTCTCCCTCCTGAGCCACATCCGCTTTATCCTCTGGCCTAATGATATCCAACTCGGTCTCATCCTCCAGAGCCACGTTGGCTATATGATCACCCTTCAGAGCCACATCGAACAAGACTTGATCAATCTCCAACCGCATCACCTCACCCATTCGCTCGAAAGCTGCGACCAGGCCAGTTTTCAAACGTTCAAGTTGCAATTCGGTTGCTCCGGATTTCCGACATAATATCTATTCCCCCCCGTCAGCACGTGAATAAACGATACAAAACACTCGGACTCACCGTCAAATCTGTTGACCAAGTGTGGGAAATGTCATTTTCCCATCTATCAAACAACCTTTCTTTCTCACCTGACATCAAAGCCAACCAAGGTACACTGTACAACAGAGCTTGGACGCGTTCACCAGAAGGGATGTAAGTGTCATCTGGAGTCAAGAAAGAACTGGATGTCCAATCGTTGATCATTTTTGATGTTTGGTTCTGTTGACGGTCAAAGAGTGGTAGTAGTAGTGGTTCTAGTTGTAGTGTAGTGGTTCTAGTTGTAGTGTAGTGGTAGTAGTCGTAGTAGTAGTCGTAGTCGCAGTTGTAGCAGTGGTCGTAGTCGCAGTTGTCGCAGTTGCAGTAGCAGTGTTGATAAAACCTTGACGGGGTTGAGAACAAGATTGTTTTCGAGCGCATTGACTCTTGTTCGAGTTGCTACTTTCGGTCACCATCACCACCCGACTGGCATGATCCCTGTCGCATGGCGGTACGTGCGCGGTACACGGTGCACCGTACACCGGTATACCGGCGGGCTAACTTTGCCATGAATCAACCAACCCGTCGTCTCATGCTAAACCACAGGTTGTTTCAAGCGGTGGGGGGTTATCCTAACACGGTCGTCTATCATAGCTTGTCCTCCTCACAGTCGGCTCAAAAGTATACAAAAGTACAGGTCATGCATGTAGCGCAACGTGTGGGCATGGGCAGATAGATGCTCGAGTGGACGAGTGGATATATATGCACATTGACACCAGCAACTGCAGCTTGACGCCAGTTTGTCACACGCAACAAAAGAGCCCAAGAGTATTATGCATCGTGTACGACATGCATCACGGTTGGTTCCACACGGCAACGGCGACCACAGGTATCACGACGTCTTCATGGCTTCGTATACACCTGCACCACCGTCAGCGACAGTGACATGTCGGTGGGATCAAACTTACAACACGGCGTGGAAAACAACAAGCTTCAACGACGGCCAGCATGGTAATCATTCTTGCTGCCAGTCAGCACAAGCGACAACGGGCGGATCGATCGAATGATTTTGGACAGCGAGAGCACATACAATGATTATTGATAGCGACTGGGCAACATCGCCTGGCATCAACACGTCAGGATCGGGATACGACGAGCATGGTGACCATTCCTTCTAACAGTCAGCACAGGTGACAACCGTTGGCATGATCAGCTGAGCATAAAGAACAGGACCAAGGTCAGATAGAGGATAGGGGAGGAGCAAGACAAACTCAACTCACGACACACGCCTCACACAACCTCAATCGATAACTTTGGAAATAATGTGACCGTATTTTAATCCACCGGTGATAATGAACAAGTTGTACACTCGGTCGAAAAGCCATTTTCCGTTCAAGAAAGTGTAGACTGATCGACCTAATGATGAGTTAAACTGATTGTGAAACTAGGGACCCACTGTTCGACACAAAGCGAGTCCCGCGGATCGTAAAATCACCAAGTGAGCGATAGCGTCGAACGACTGAGATGTTAGCCAAGAGTGCGCGGGCGAAAGCTAAGGGGTCAAGGAGACTCACAGGATACAAGGATTGACGTGCTGGGACCATCTTGTCAACGTATCTGGGTGGGGGATATCCTCATCATCAGCACAGCGCCGCGCTCAGCACAAAGGGAGGCCAGGGGGGGTGGGGCGAAAGAAGAAGAAGAAAATATGGAAAACTGTCCAGCCAACAAGGGCCGAGTGATGATTAGTGGACTGGGACGAGGGAGAAAGGGGACACGGAGACAAAGTGGTGCGAGTGATGATGGCGCCCGGGTACCAATTCCGGTTCTAGACAGCGTGACATGGAAGATAGGGAGGTGGACGAGTCAACGGTGGACAAAGTAAATACTCACTATACTATAGCTCGACAATGATAGCAAAGGGAATTGACATGACAGCAAGACGATGGAGCCAAGGAAGGACGAACGGACGGAATCGACAAGACCACAGACGTTCATCCGTCAGAACGGAATGCAACGTACGGGGAGATGAAGACTTTAACGTCGACTGACCTCATCTGGAACGGACAGAATGCAGCTCAGCCATTGACGAGTGGGGGATGGGATGGGATGGGATGGGATGAATAGAGAGTGGAGAGAGAGAGAGAGGAGCGCGGGAGAAGGGAGAAGGGATCGGAGGGGGAAGACGGAGTCGTACGGAGTTTTGAGCGTGGCACCTGTGGGCTTATCTCCGATTGATATCTCCGATGTGAGAGGCAGGGTCGCGGTAAGTATCACCTTTTCGTCTCTTCCCTTTCAAAGTTTGACTGGATACAAGATGACGGTGGTGAAAGCTTGGGTTCGAAAAGGCAAAGTAGCATCTCTGAAAGTATCCCATCTCGTCTACCAACCAGCTCGAGCTGACAGCACCAGCAGGTCGTATTGGGAATCAGCAGCGGCCGCAAGACCCCCTCAAGAGTTGGATATCTTGAATCGTCCGTCGACTTGTTTGTTTCTTTGTTACCCTAGCTGACTTACCAGGTGTCTGGAATCGACCCTCATCTTCGAACCGGAACGATGACACTCCGAGTTGTGAGACGCCCACAAAGCCATCGGCATCCGTTGGAGAGCCGACCGATGACCCGAAAGGGGTCATGCCCTGCGACAACTCGGTCACCGAGGATAAACTGTCAGTCTTGGCTTTTCACTACCAGTTGATTGCATCTTGGTCGCTTGTGCCATCTCTGATATCCTCTGTGACTCTTGCCATCTCATCGTTGGCTGACGACCAGTCACTGTCACCCATCCACTTCTCCCCCGACTGGATCAACTGCCGGCCACGTCGCACACCTCATCTCATCACTCTCTACCACCCATCTCTCTACCACGCCTGCTATGCAATCAACCTCTGTCGTGCCCACTAACCCACCCGTCCCATCCGGACGGGCACGGTCGTCACTATCACCCCACCACCGGAATGATCCGGAAAAAAGTCACGTTCGTCCTTCATTTTACCAACCAGAAGCAAATCCTCGTCATCCCAGGATGGACCCCTCTCCTCTCTTCTCAAGCCGTGGGAAAGGAGAGACCGCATGCGATTCGACGCCTACACTCCGTACCACTTATTCGTCTCGTTCGATCAGCCACGATCGACCGGAGATGGTTGTCTCATCGCCTCACGATCTAACTGCATCATTCTTACATCTCGCTTCGCTGCCACCACCTCTTACTCCGCAAGTTCTACCTCCAGGATCTCCTCGTTCACCTTCAGTATCGTCCGTTCCATCTACAGCTTTGCCGCTACCACCTCCTACTCCGCAAGTTCTACCTGCAACTTCTCCTCGTTCACCTTCAGCATCGCCCGTTCTATCTACAGCTTCACCGGTGCCATCCCCCGCCCCTCCTCACCCGCTTCCCGCTCCCTCACTCAATCCTTCCACGCCGTCGAGAAGGTCCAGACCGAGGACACGTTCCGATGCACAGAGATCAGGGTCGGCGACATCTCTCGCCAGGAGCATGGCTAAGAGGTTGCACTACGATCGGTCCGTCGCCGTCCGTCGACGCCGTGATGAAAGGTTCGATGGACGTACTAGTTCCGAAAGGTCGAGTTGAAGCAGAGAGCAGTCCTTGAGGAAAAGGAACACTCGCTCCCCCTTGTCTACCTTGGGTGCCAATGTTCCGATCCCCCCCTCCATCTTCAGACGAAATGACCGAGTATCCTACAAGTCCTTGAACACTACATGACTCTTTCTCTCATGTCTTCCCCCTGTTCACGGATTGCGCAGATGCCGTGAGTCGTGAATCGGTAATTCATCATCGTCACCGCCTCCCTGATACGTTTCAATTTACGGCTGCGTCTGGTTGAAATCACTTTATGTTACAACATGTGTAGTAGATTGTCCCATGCATGAAATCCTTACAGTCAACTATCGTGCCCACTCAGCTACTTGCTTGTTGTTCCCGTCCATTACCATCCTCGCATTCACAAAGCATACCTTAATGAGATCGTATGGACAGGACAGCGTGGTTCACTTTCGCTTTTTCGCTTTCCGCATGGTAATCAGTTCTGGGCTCAGGGGTACTTGCCAGCCAAGTCGATGAATCGGTCCAGATGCAGAATATGATAGGATGTGTGAACTGACTTGGCAAGTGGCAAGTGTATGATCATGGGAAGGGTCTCAATTACTGTATGGAACTTTTCAACTAAATCCGACTTCTTTACATCACTTCTCTCATCCTCACCTCTGACCTCTGTTCATGTCTATCTTTTCATCCAGTTTCTCATTGTACGCTCTGCTCTGCTTTCCATAATTAGCAAACTTCTTCAGCGATCCCTGATTGTTGTCATTCATGAAAGATAGTGAAAGAAAGCTACATACATCAAGATACATCGTCAAGAAAGTGAAAGCACCAAAGACAGAGTAAGTAGAACAAAATTTGCCATAGTTGCGCCCTGTTCAACCCCCCCCCCACCCTATCTATTGTCAGGTGGGTCATCGAGCCTGAAAGTACCAAGTTAGCCGAGGTTAGTTGATTGTCAGTCTAGGAGAAGGAAGATAGACAAAGGCTGTGACACTTTCCTCCTTAGCCTAACTTTGGCGTAATTGGTCTTGGCCGTCCTTGGGGTCTCGTATCGTACTTGGGTCCAATAGGTGGAACATTGTAGGTAGGTGTATGACAATGATGGTGGAGTGATGGAAGGGATGGTTGTCAAATGTCATGAATCCAGAGTGGCTCTGCCACACTGCCACAGTCAAAACATGAACAACACATGATGTGGATTTTGTTATCACTCAGGCACAACCTCCACATGCCTCCACATGCCTCCACATGCCTCCACCTTCCTGAAGTAGTAACTGAAGTGCATGCTTAATCAGCATTGCAAATCACCACATACCTCCACCTTCCTGAAGTAGTAACTATAGTGCATGCTTAATCAGCATTGCAAATTCCCATAGCAGGATTGCCAATAAGAACTCAAGGATTGCCAATAGGACTTAAGGATTGCAAATAATAGTTTATCAGTTTAGTCAGATTGCAAATTATAGTTTAGCAGTTTAGTCAGTTTGAAGGGTATAAAAGGAGCACTTCTCCCCCCTCTTTCTTCAGCAATGTATCTTCATCTTGAAGTTGAACTTCATCTTTGAAAGTCACCTAGTTGGTTCTAACCCAACACCTCAGTACCCTCAGTACCTAAGGCAGTCATCAAGCTCTACGAGCCAGAGACTAAAACCCTTCAGTACCCAAGGCAGTACTTTGCAATCGCAGTCTACCCGCAGGCGTGACATCAAAGGAGGTTGTTGATGATTGTTAGGGTGTTGTCACAAAGCGTGTGACAAGTCGAGCGAAAGTCGGGGAAGGGTATTTAACCAGCGATCGGCGGTAGAGTTAACCGCCAATTAATAGGCCTTTTCGTCACAGTGGTTAACAACAC